TCTTACACCAAATCTATGTGTAATACTTACACCAAACATTGTTTTCCGTATTTATACGGTGAACAATGTGTTTTATTTTTTTATAAATAAAAAGTAATATTTATTAAAAAATGTTTTATTTTAAAATTATTTTTATAATATAAATGTAAAATTCATCATTAACCAATTTTAATATTGCATTAACCATAAAAATATAAGTTATTAAGCACATATTTTACTTATAATTTGTTAACCAAATTTACTATTTTATCAACCAATAAATTACATAACACTAACCAAATTCTGACATTAAAATATAAAATATAATAATTAATTTTTAAACTTTATTAACCAATCTTATTTGTTTTATTTCATATATTTTGATAAATTAATATTAGAACTTGGTTAATAGGGTGAAAATTTTGGTTATTATTTCATATTTTAATATCAGAATTAGATTAATATTATGTACACATAGACATAGATATTGATTTTGTAAATATTGATTAGTTATTTGTTTTACACATATATGATCAATTATTCTAAATTTAACTCATTTTTACAAAATCAATATTTATAACTTCATAACCAAATGCACACATAGACATAGTTCTGGTATACATCACTAAAAAACAAAAGTTGTCCATGGAAATGTACTAATATCTTGCTAGTATCAATAAAGTTACAACAACAACAACATTACATTTTATTTTCCTCCTTCTCTCAATTCAATTCAAAAGAGATTTCTATCTCACCCTTTGAGACCCCAACACAAAGACTCTTAACTTCCTTAGCCTTTTTATCATCTAAATAATTTTGATAAATATATGAAAGAAATCCCCATATTGCCAATATCAAGGCCATAGATTTGACTCCATCTATCTTATCATGAAAGAACAAAACAGCAAGAGTTGAAACTAAGGGTAGCACCAAAGAACCTATTATATTTGCAAACAATGAAGATACCTCAAAAACCAACCCCAACATTCCAATGTAACATATTTGCCATGTCACAGCACAACAAACCAAAGTCACTATATATGACATTTTTCCATTTGCAAACTCCTTCATCTCCTTGTCCAAAATTTTCCATTCTCCACTCACAAACAATCCCACAACACAAGCACAAGTAGCAATGAAGGAAGGATAGAATTGCATGTCCAAGATAGCATCAAAGGTTTCTCTTTTTATAACTTTCTCAAAGGAAAATTGAACAAGAGCAAGATATAGAGAAAAGGTAGCACATGCACAAAGAGTGAAGATGAAGCCAAGTATGTAGTTTTCTTTATGAAGATCCGTCGAGTCTTCGGAAATGGAATCAACCGCGAGCAGCGAAGTTGATATGGTAAGGAGGAACACAGAATTGAATATCAACGCTGTAAACTTCTGAGAATTTAGGAAGAAAGAGAATAATGCATTGAACCCTAGTTCAGTTGAACATATTAGAGAAAAAGTGGAAAGAGGAAGATATTGAAGTCCATAGGAATACATCAAGAACACTCCTTCTAAAAGTATGCCAAACCCTAGATAGATGCTGAAGTTTTTTGGTTTGATTATGGAGGAATTATCATCATTCATATTGAGTATGTTCTTGAAATTTTCTTTTGATTTGAAGTAACAAATGAGTGGGAGTAGTAAGGGGAATCCACATGATTGAACAAATGAAACCATCCATTTGCTATTACCACCTTTGTCATAGTATAATCTTTCCAAAAGAAGGGAAAAAGATTGGCCTGCTAAGAGGAAAATTATGTAGAGAGCTACACGAAACCACCATCTGTAATCTTTGATTCTTGGATCTTGAGGTTGCTCAGTCATGTTTGTATTTATGTTATCTGTATTCAAGAAAATTGAGATTCATTAGTCTGATGATTTTGTATTTGGTTATGAGGCTGATACGTCAGATACATGTAATAATTTGAAAAAATAAATAAATTTAATGTAATTATAAACGTTACGATAACTTTGAATATAGATACTGATACATATACATTATTTTTACAGAGGTGTCGGCGCTGCAGAGAAAATTACTTGAAACTAACCTGAATTTTGTAGTGGTGGTTCTTGATCTATCTCCATTAAAAAAGAGTAGATATTATGATAGAGATGATCATATTTGTTTATAGAACTTTCTCAAAGAAGCTGCAGATTGGCTTGCCTAGCTACGAGAAAGATTGAATAGAAGTATGAAAACAATTTTTGTATATGCTATAGGGAGTTTTAATGTTGTGGCTACTTATGAATGTGCTTATATGCCTATATATTTATATAAAGAAATATATAAAAAAAGGTCATTTATTTTATGATTGATGAGCAAGTTGTTCTTGGAAAGGTACGTTTATGAATAAACTCTTTTTTTAAACTAATAATATTCATATTAAGTTAATATAAAAATAAAAAATTGTAATTAAATTCAAAATTAACGATTAGTGATCATAAATAGAGTCTTGCAAATTGTAGATATAAATTATGTCGGATAGACTTTATAGAAACTTAGATGGATGCATATTAGGGAAGACTTTGACTGCCACAATTTGTTAATACACTTTTCACTTTATGATTTTTTCTAAATATTTTTTTGTTTATTTATTGTTTATTTATCTTTTCTGAAAATGTTTATTTATTGTTTATTTATCTTTTCTGAAAATGTTTATTTATTGTTTTTTTTTCTTTCATTTTATTTATTTATACATTCTATTCAAGTTTTCTAATTATAGTTTCTCTCTACTTAGCATTCTATTGTCATTTTTCGTACTATTTTTTTTCTATACATACAACCTATTTTTTTTTAAAATTATTTTTATTTTCTAAATAAATTTATGTTATCATTCAAATCAAAAATGATTTTTATGTTTTTATTTTTACATTTTATATATATCTTTTAAAAATTTAGGGTGGCCTAAACCCCATAAAAACTATTCTTTAATAAAGTCAGTTTTAATTGTAAAGACTTTATGATGGTCTATTTTGCCAGAAAATTATTAATATTTTAAAAATATCAATTTGTTATGACACAGTGATTAGGATGCCAATTTAGCCTATCTTGGATATCTAAAAAAATATTCACAATAGATAAGATAATAATTCACAAAAATAGATATGGATACGGACTCGAATAATTATTCACTTAAATAAACAGAGATGAATGCGGTTAGTACCTACTCCGCCCATATCCGCACAATATATATTTATATATTTTAATTTATATTATTAAACAAAAATAAATAAATATCTATCAATTTTTAAAAATACATCAATTTTAAACTACTACATATTTAATAAAAAAAATATTTTATATTGTTAAAAACTTAAAATAATATAATATTTTTTATTTAATATATTTATTTTTATCAAAAATATTTTTATTAAAAATACGGATAACAGATTCAGACTCTTACAAATCCATAGGATACAGGTACGCGTGCCAATTTTGATACCCAATAAATATGCGCTCAGAAAATATTAACTTAGTATTTTAACTTAGTTGATATCATTTATTTGAAAATTTAACCAATTAATTTGAAAATATCATTTACTTAATAATTTAACCAATTAATTTTTTGAGTAAAAAAACTAATTAATCTTTAAACTATACATTTAATATTTAACTTCAAGTTATTAATAAGTTTATATAAATACAATATATTAAATTATTAAGTTAATAATTTTAAAATATCAACAATATCATGTCATAAACAAAGCCATATGACAAATGTCACATAAAAAGATTTATACCGAATACAATTTTAATAAAATGTTACAAAATTTAATAATATGTATAACACTATGAGTAGCCTTTTGGATTTATTGGTTTCATTATTCATGTTTGCTTGGCTTATCCTCTTAATCTGAGTTGCTTTCTAATCTTCATTTATGAAGATTTATAAAGTCACTTTCTCAATAAGAATTTCTTCCACACAACCAAATTTTTTATATATAAAGTTATTTGTTTTAATCTTCTAAGATACAATTTTCACACGCGTCAATTTCTTTTTAAACTTCACATTTTAATTATTTTTTAATCTTTTAAGATACAACTTCACATGCATCATATCCTTATTGTTTTTCACTTTTCACCCTCTTGAAAAGTTAGGTTCCCTTTTTGTTATTTTGGAAAAACAAATCAAATATGTATTGATTAAATTAACTCAAATAAATACTTAGCGTGTAACGTTTCATACATCGAAAAATCAATATATTATCAATCAGCGTGTAACTCAAATAAATAAATAAATTTAAAATTAGGCATGGTAACTAATAAAAGTGTTGACTAAAATATTTGATAACATTTTTTTATAACTGTGGCATAATAATGATGTTATAGAATTTTTAGGTTTTTTAAGCTTGATTGATGATAACAATTTGATAGTCATTAATCCAAATTTTATTTATTTTAAATCTATATAATGAGCTATTTTATGAGTAGCCTAATTTCCATCCTTTGCAAAAACGAAATTCTACATTTATCTTCAACCTCTTGCTCAATCCTCGTGCAAATGCTAGTAAATTTGAAATACAACCGTTTGTAAATGTTTATAGTGTGTGAGTTCGATTTTTTCACCCAAATAACTATAATATACATTCCAAATAACCAATTTACTCCACTTTTCCTCAAATATACCATTCTACCCAACTTTGGTGATTTTCTTTTTTTTTTAATACAAGGGGGCGCCATTGGGCTTGGCTCCCCCTTTATAATTTGTGAGGGGGCGCCATCCAGGATGGAGGCACCCTACAAATTATAAAGGGGGCGCCATACCCTTTGGCTCCTCCCTTAAATTCATTTTTTAAAAATAATTTTAAATATATAATTAGTTTAAAAATATTTTAAAATTAATATATAATAATTAAAAAATATTTTTAAAATAAAAATTATATAATAATAAATGCTGAATAATTTTTAAATATTTAACAAATAATAAATAAATAATAATTAATAATATCATTAATAAACTTAATATTAAATAATAATTACAATTTTTATTTAATCACAAATTGGTACATATGAAACATGTTATACACTAGTTTCTACGACTTGGTCGGTTTAAACGTCCGCCCGTACCGCATCCCCGATCACGAACGTTTCTTCGTGGTCTTTGTTGTGGAGTCGGGTCCACTGTGTCGTCTTCAAGCAATTGCATCACTTCGGCCCATGAAGACGGGTCCATATCCGTAAAGTCACCCAAATCAAAAGGGTTGCCCATGCCTTCGTAATTGTTTTGGGGTGGTTGGCTGGATGAGGCAATGTCAGGACGATAGCCTGTCTGATCGTAGGGTGGGATGGGTGTAAATGATTGGGTGGATATGGGTTGATTGAGTGTTTGAAACTGGGTGTTTTGGTTTGTAGTATCCATGGAGTATGTGTGGTATTGTGTGGATTGTGAATGAGTTTGTGTGAATGGAGTGAATTGGTTAGGGGTATGTTCATATGGTTGTGATTATGTGAGTGGGGGTTGAAAATAGGGTTAGGTTGGTGGTTGAAAATGGGGTTGGTATGGTGGTTGGAAATGGGGTTGTGTTGATGGTTGGAAATGGGGTTGGGTTGGCGTTTGGAAATGGTATTGGGTTGATGGTTGGGAATGAGGTTGGGTTGACGGTTGGAAATGAGGTTGTGTTGGTAGTTGGAAATAGGGCTGGGTTGATTGTTGGGGCATTGATGATGAATCTTGTTGGCGTGGGTCAACAAGATACCTTGGATGTGAAATGAAACCAATTGATACAGACCTATACCAAGTCATGTATTGTATCGATTGTTTCATCTCGTATGGAAACACCGTGTCGGACAAAACATAGTTGTTGCGATGCGACCATTCACGACACTCATGTTTTGCATACTTGGTCCACGGATTATATTCCCATTGGTCGGAGACTTTACCCGTGTGATATTTGTCGGGGATGCACTTTGGCGGACATGGAATATCTTGAAGCATTCCAAATTGAAGTTTCACGCGATCACTGTTGTGCCTTTCCACGGTGGTGAAGTTGATTATCGGCACCTTTGCACTCCACACCGCAGAGTCTTGTCGTTCAACTTCATGAAAGGCTTCTAGACCAAGATACGGCCGCCAAATGAACTGTATGAGGAAAAAATAATATTAACTATTTTCTAATAATATTCAAGTATAGTATAACATAAATAGGTAGGTTTGTGAGTGTACATCATCTTGACCCAAGTGATCAATAAGATTCCTGTACTGCGTGATACTGTAATGTGGACAGTTGTCATAATTCATTCCAAGCGAAGACCACCTACAAATCAAAAAGAAAACATTTATTAATAATTTGATTAATTAATTGAAATACTATCATAGATAACTGAGAATTGGGAAAATTAATTACCTTTTAGCGAATGGGAATTCAAAATTATTTCGTTGAATAGGTGCTATATTGGTCATTCTTGACCAACCCCATGCTTGAAGAAGAACACCACATTCGGTCCAGTTTCCCGAATTTGCTACCATGTAATATTGGAGTCACTACCAGCATACACTCCTGAAGGAACATGTGTTGATGGAAGTAGGATATTTTCTCGTCTCTTTTGGGCATTTCAACCATGTATCAAAGGTTTTGCGTTCTGCAAACCGGTTATACAAGTCGATGAAACATGGTTGTATGGGAAATACAAAGGAACATTGTTGATGGCAGTTGCACAAGACGGATATAATAATATATTTCCGATTGCCTTTGCCCTGGTCGAGGGTGAGAGAGGCGAAGCTTGGAGTTTCTTCCTCAGAAATCTCAGAACACATGTCGCACCTCAACCCAACCTATGTCTAATTTCTGACAGACATGCTTCTATTGTGAGCGCCTACAACAATCCTGCTAATGGTTGGCACAATCCTCCTTCTGTCTATGTCTTCTGCATACGACACATTGCTCAAAATCTTATGCGGGAAATTAAAGACAGAAATCTCCGTAAAAAATTTGTGAACGCTGGGTATGCCTTAAACCAACCATCGTTCATGTATTACCGTGAAGAAATAAGGTTGTCAAGCGCGGAAGCATTAAGGTGGGTGGATAACATTCCAGTCGAGAAATGGACAAGGTCATTTGATGGAGGATGCAGATGGGGTCACATGACCACAAATATTGTAGAATCCCTAAACGGCGTATTTAAGGGAACTAGGAACCTCCCCATCACTGCGTTGGTAAGGGCAACGTATTACAGATTGGGGTCACTTTTTGCGGCAAGAGGCAAAAAATGGAGCGCTGTTTTGCAATCAGGGCAAATATTCAGCGAATCAAGCATGAAGTATATGAGGGATGAAACTTCTAAGGCGGCCTCACATCGAGTTAGACCATTTGATCGTCACGATTACAGCTTCATTGTTGATGAGACAATGGATCACAACGAGGGTCGGCCAATGGGACATTACAGGGTGGAACTTCATAAAAATTGGTGCGACTGCGGAAAGTTTCAAACCTTCCGCATGCCTTGTTCACATGTCATTGCCGCATGTTCAACAGCTCGTCATGATCCATTCTTACAGCTATCAGAAGTTTACAAGGTCGTCAACTTATTCGGTATTTACAGTAACAGTTTTCCAGTGGTAGCTAGTGAGGACTATTGGCCAACCTATCATGGAGACACAATCTACCACAACGAAAATATGAGAAGAAACAAAAAGGGTCTCCCAAAAAGCACTCGTATTACAACTGAAATGGATACAACTAAGAAAATGGAAAGATTATGCGGAATATGTCGTCTTCCCGGGCATACGAGGAAAAACTGTCCAAATGTTAGAACAAGTTCTAGATAGATTAAATTTGGGCATTAAAAATTGTGTAACAGTGGATTTTAATATTCATATCAACTTTTCGTTACCACAAAAACTAATTGAAATACATCTAGATCAACATAGCAAATCATTACAAATACAACGATTCTTATCTATGACAGATACCGTAAAACCTTTGTCCCTATTCTGTTTATGAAATTTTTATTTTTACATGATTAATAGATAAATGTAGATTGTATTTTTTTAGAACAATTTAATTGTATCTTAAATTACTGAACCATATACTTTCATGGTTGATTTAGTGATAGGATCCATTAAGAGACGTTGTTATTTGTAAAACGGAGCTTTCTCAAATAGTTTTAAACTATTTTCATGTCTCAAATTATTCGTTTAATTTTAATGTGTCAGAAATTAGTTTTCACCTTTTAGTCCACATTCAATAGATAAAACATAAGAAGTATAAGCAAATTGACAAACATTGAGTGAGGGCATTTTCCATCCACAAACTAAATTCAAAACTAATAATTAAGCCTACCAAGAGTTGAAAAACAATAAATTTTGAGAGATTAGAATTCAATGGAGTATTACCAATCCAATTTCATAATCCAAGCAAACATGCAATAATCTTTCATAAAAAATAAATGAGTTTGGCAACCACAATATAAAATTTATCTAGTTATAGATCATTTATTTGACTTTATCAAACACAGTTTGATAATAAAAGTTTTTTAAATTAATTAAATTCATCATTTCTGAAAGAAGCCTTGTTGAAAAGAAAAGATAAATTGATTAGATACCACACTTAGATTTTTACTCAAAAACCCAATATCTTCATCCAAATCTCTTTGGAGAAAATTCTCAAACACCTTGAACATCCTTTGAAAATAGGCTAAACAAACACACAACACACACAACTGAAGCAAAACACCAATAATGAGATACTACCAATGGACTCACAATAAGATACTCCAAAAAGCAAAACATTTTCGAAACATATTGTCAAACACCAAAAGTGCATACTTAGATCCCAAAAGACAACAACAAAAGACAGAAAACGCAAAACTAAAATTAGATAAATGAAAAGGAGGAATAAATCATAAATAATAGGTAAAACATGGTGGCTTTGGAGTTAGGCGAACGATCAACACTGTCGAAGGTGTGGGAGTGGCCGGTGGTGGCTTTGATGACGCCCACATCAATAGAAGAAACTTTGGAAATGGATGGATGGTTGACAACTTTAAAGGTATGAAAACAGCCGGTGTTGGTGGCTCCAGTGGTAGTTTCTTTAGTAAAAACAGTGGTTTGGCGGCAATTCATGGTAGTGAGAGGGGGGAGCAGATGAAAGGGGTTAGCCGATGAGAGGAAGTAATGCTCTCTATAGAGGAGGGAATACAAACCATAAAGGTGAGATATGAAAACCATCATGAGGGTGGGGAGTAACTACCAAACTCTAGAGGGTTGGGGGAAACTCCCTAGAAAGAAGGGAGAACATCTCTCTAGGTTTTATTCTTGTCTTTCTTACTTTAATGTAACTTGTTGTGAATCTTGTTGTAAATTGCGACAAAATTCAATATCAATTTGTGAGGCAAAGAACAATAGAAACCAAAATAAATGGTCTTCAGCAATAATAATTCGTACACAAATAAGATAACAGAATAAGGCAAGAAAAAACCAAAGGTTTGTTTACCCAGTTCGACCAAACGATTTATTCTGGGAGAAAGAGCAGCTCTCCAATTCACTATACTTAGAAAGTTGTTACAAGAAATTACAAATGAGTTACAATAAAATAGTCTTCGCCTTCAGGTTCCCAAGAAAAACCCTGAAGGCGCCCAAGAACAACCCTATTTCTACCCAAATATTTCCCTATCTCTCCAACTCTTAATATATGAATCACTCAAACCCAAGGTGTAATCCAAGGTTTTCTTTGTGCATAGATGAAACCTTATGCTATACCTTTAAACCATTGGTCTCTCTTGTTGGTAAAAACTCTAAGATTGCCATACACCAAACATATAAGAGATACATATTTATAATAGAAGATACCCAATAAACAAAGCCCAATATCACATGAATCCATGGACCGAATCGAAAAAGCCTGAAAGTTGATGTACATATGTATTATTTTCCCTTTTCTTTTTTACTTGATTGGGATAACCATTATGGTTGGTAGCCAAACTTTGAGTTGGTGGAGTTTATGATGTCTTTGGGCTAGTTTCTTATGGAGGTAGTTCAATTTTGTAACAAGATATATTTTCATCAATTTGATGTAAACCTTCATACATTTTGAAGACCACCTCCTCTTCTAGAAATCAAGGTATTAGCTCACTTGTATTTTAATCAATATTTGTTCTAGAATTTAATAGAAATGGTCTACCAAAGAGTAAGAGAATTTTTTATACTCTTTCACATAAGAATGAAGAAATAAAATAAAAATACAAAGTCAAAAACTTTTACCAACACATCGTCCACCATACCTTAAGGGTATATTATTTATTTTTATTCGAATTTTATAGACTTAATTTTTTTTATTTATGCAAGAGGATAGGCAGTCATCATATGATTTTAGAAGCAATTTCCATTATTTTTTTTTAGTAGTTATCGGTGAATAAATTATG